ACGTTATGTAAAAAAAAAAAAAAAAAAAAAAAATTCTTCACAAATATCTACAAAATATCTCAACATTGAGAATGTTTTAAAGCACAGTAACTATCCCTGTGATAACACAGAAAATATGCCAAATTTTATATTAATGTAAATTTCTCTTTTCAAACTTGCTTAAGCAGTATTTGGTTAACTTTTTTTGGTTGGGATGAACATTATATTGGCCTTGTGATTCCCCATTTGAGAGGCCGCAGATGTCAATTTTAGTACTCATGTCTTTTCCTCCCATTTTCCGAGCTGAAAGGTGGGGATGAAATGTCAAGTTTAATGCTCCTGGAGACTTAACTGCTTATAACTTTTTTTTTTAACCACTTATAACTTAAGGTTTTTCTTTGTGTTAAGGATCTGGTTTTCCCTATCATTCCCTTTTTATTCTTGCAACTTCAGAGTTTGAAGATAACCTCATTCATAAATCATAAACAGTAAATTGTATTTTTTTATTAAATATGGTACAAAGTCTGAGACCCAAACTCATTGGGACTGGTGATTCCAGATTTGGGATTTTTCTGGATATTAGAGCTTCATTTTAAATCTAGTAAGATGGCATGTAGAAATTATAAAAATAAAAATATTAAATCATGATTTCTGAAATAATGAAGTATTTATAATCTGAAGGGATCAACGTTTAAAAAAAAAAAAAAAAAAAAAAAAAAGCTTAATATTTATTTGTTTATTGTATTAAACATTTCTTTCAATATAAGTTGTTTAAGTTGCTTCGTTTTTTGTGCTAATATTTTCTCTTTAATTCTATAGACAGATGTAATTTTTTGTTCAGTTACAAAGTTCCATTATTCAAGTCCTGTAATTGCTGTGCCAAACATTCTGACTAACTTGTCAATCAAAATTTTTTCATTGTCAATAACCTCTCTGTCACTTTCTTCACTATTGGTAGCGGTATTTTCTGGATTTAGAACCATACTATAGATCAGTGTTTCTTAACCACCGGTCCGCAAGAAATATCCAGCTATATGTCCAAAATCCAAAGTGTCATCGTCTGACAAATGATATTACAACAGCACCTACATTACAATAACAATAGTTTACAAAATAATGTGATTGATGATGATTTATTTATATGAAAAATTATGCTAATGGGTCAAATTATTAAACTTATCAGTGTGTGAGAATGTACCGAAATATTTTACTGGTCTTTGGAGTATATCCAGTTGAGAAACATTGCTATAGATTTCACCATCTATTAATTGATTGATGATTGGGGCATTGTCACTGCAATGAAAAACTTCTGCTATATCATCTCCATTTATTCCACATTTCTTTAAAAAATCTATTAATTGGAAAATTTCACCATTGGTTTGCAATAACCAAAAACCTTCAAATTTGCGGCTGTCATCTTCATCATCCTTACCATGAAATATGGTAGCTGGCCAAAAATTATGGCAAGTATATTTTAAAGCACCTGGAAACACATCCTTCAACAATCTTGGAATGCTCTACACAGATTTTATGCTAAAATATTTCAAAAATTCTTTAATAGTCTTGCCATAATTCAAGAAATTTAACATGGATTTTAAAAATGCTACTTTATATTTGCATTTCAGCACGCACTATTCCGATATCCATAGAATGATGGACGCAGGCTTTGGAGGAAAGAATAATATGGATACATTATCTTTCACTAAAAGGGACAGTGGACAATGATTTTCAGCAAAAATCAACCAAAAAATGGGAAATAAAAATTTTATATGATAATATTCTATGGTTTTAACTCTGTCGTATACAAGATACCGTTTGTGCATAAAATAATTTTTAAAGAAGTTGTAAAGATTTGAATACATTTATTTACCTCTTTTGTGACATTTAAATGTCAGTAAAAAGGTAAACAAACATTTGAGAAATGTTATTTTAATTTCCGCAACTAATACTTTTTTTTTTACTATTAGTAAGATGTGAATGTGTAAGATATGAAGACTGCAATTTATGCAAGTTTGTTTCATTGTTCTTCCACGGATGAATCAACCAAACATTCTAAATACCCAATAGGTGTCATATCATTTCCCCCCCCCTGTTAAAGGAGCATGGGAAAAAAAAAAAAAAAAAAAAAAAAAAAAAAAAAAAAAAAAAGGAAACCTAAATCTCGTTCAATGATGAGAACAAAATTAACAGTAGATATTTTATTCAAAACACTGCCAATGTATCAAAGACTAGCCAGTAATGAGCTTTTAGAAAGATCCATATCTGGAAAAATACGAAACACTAATGAGAGTTTACATAGTGCCATTTGGAAGAATTTGTATCGAAAAAAGACTTGAAATAGCTGTTTTACTGCAACTAGTGACATCAGTTTTGGGTGTTTAAATGCTTTAGGTATCGAACAGGAATATATAAATCTATTTGATAGAGGCAAGATAAACGGTGTATAGACCAGAGTGAAAAGAGGTGTTCGACTGGATACATGAAAAAAATAATTACCAAAAAAAAAAACCTGTATAAAGTAGCTAAATTGGGGATAAGTTATCGTTATTAACTGCTTCCCTTACAAATGTTTTTGAAAAAAAATTGCAAAAAAAGTCACATTTTAAAAATTTTATTATTAAATACTACAAGGAAATGAAACAAAACAAAATATGTAGGTTTTAAGTTGAAATTTAAATTTTTTACAGATGTGAAAGCATATAGTTTTAATATTAGTTTACTATCTTGTTATCTTGGGCAAATGAAAAAAAAGCTAAATATTAGTCTTAGTATGATAGTTTTTAAAACAAGGGACAACACGAAGTGATGCCTGACATTCTGTACACTGGTATCTGGTCTCTTTTCTTACTGGCTTACCTCTGGAACCTCTATTATGAAACACAGAGTACACTGTCTCATTGGATTTGATTTTTTTTCAGTAGCAGGAATAACATCTGGGAAATGTCCACCTCTTCATAATCATTATCCGAAAAATCATCGCTTTCGCTGTCTTGCATCATGGCCATTATTTTACTTTTTTTCAATGCAACTATTCTTCTTTATACATTACTAATCCACAATCCGACGTATACTATACAATAGGGAAAACACGTGACCAGTATCGCCAAAAGAACCGCAAAACCAACAAAACTTGGCAAACTGCCAATCAAAGCTGAATATTTCCTTTCATTGTCTCCAGGCTGAGTAAAACCATGATAAAACAAATCATACTGATACATTCATCATCGTGATAAAACATTTCATCATTGACAAATTCTGCTTCGCCCAAGTTTTCCCGGGATAATAATTAACTGCAATTTATACGAACCCGAGATAACTCGGGATAATCAGGCAAGCGGTTAACAAGTTCAATGAATTCACCCAGTAATAGTTCAGCAGCTGAAGCTTTTCCACCTGAAATTTTTAATTGCCTTATACCATGGTGATTTTTTAAATTTGGTTAACCAACTTATCGAATATGTGTGCTCAGTTTTTAAGTTCATTTCTTCATCAAATATTTTGGCTTGAGCCATTAGCATTAGACAAGTTAATGGCACGCCCTCGCTGCATCGTTGTCTCACCCATTCAATCATCTCTTTGTCATGATCTTCACTTTAAGTATAACGAATAATTTTTTTGTTATTCATTACAAGCTGGTCTTCGGAATCTATAAAAAATTCAAGAAGTTCCCTTTTCTGTTTTCTTATATCATATATATTTGACTTTAAAATGCCATACTCATCACATAATTTTGAGGTGGATATACCTTTATCCATTTTTTGTAGCAATTTCACTTTTTGTTTAATGGACATCGAAACATGCTTTCGCTTTGTAGATCTTGTTGCAGATCTAGAATCAAAAACTTATTTTGACATAATCAAAAGTTCAAACTTGAATTTTCATAAAACTGCATTAATAATAACAGCCTGTGAAAAATAAATAAGCTGGATCAAATCAGAAAGTTAAGGAAAAGTGCAATCTGCTATATTAACTAAAATTCCTTGCGCTTAGTAAAGTATAATTTTAGCCTAGCTTAATAGCATGTGCTATACATTATTGGCTATGTATCTTGAGATTGTCAATGAAAGGCAAGTTGTTGCACTAAATGTTGTCTTGCTTCTATCGTGCATTGAGACAATTAAGCCTAAATTATATTTAGTTATTTATTATACTAATGTCTATTTCTTGCTCATGCTTAAGGCTTATCTGAATTCTGAATAAATAAATACTCTCATATACTTAAAGCTTATCAAGGCCTGGCACTCGATATCTTACCACCTGATGCAGTCTCTGCAGGTCCTAAATTCTGCTATCAAGTGCCTCTTTAAGTTCTAAATTTTTGCCACCCTGAGTCCCATTGCTTTCCTTAAATTCTAAAATTTTGGTCATTCCTTAATTTTGTTCTTTGGTGCTTCTCTAAATTCCAGAAATTTCGTCTTCCCTAAATTCTGCCACCAGCCATAAACAGGAATGGCGCCAAAAAATCGCCAATTTTCTCCAAGGGGTACCCTGAGAAATATTTTTACGTTTTCTTTCATATTATATATCTTACATGTACATATATACTTTTGATATTGCCAATTGCAATAAAAAGGTGACGTGCACAACAGGATGTTATAACAGTCCCATATAAAAAATTCCAGCATTCTATGACTAATCATTTTTTAGTTATGTGAGATACATAGATATGAAAGTACAGTTGTCACAAAAAAATCCATTTTATAATCTGATTTGGAATAAAGGTTCCAGATTTGTTCTTTATTCTGTCTGTAGAAACATCATGTAAAATGGATTCAGGAATGGTAAAAAGGATATTTCCTTTGAAATCTGACAATCAAAATATTTCTCGATTACAGTACTTCCTTACAGTATTCCTTTACAAGGAATTAAGAATGAAAACACATTGAGGTAGTTGCACAAATACCTAAGTACCAAATTTGAAAACATTAGCACAATATTTAATTCTGAGTTGAAAACAGTGTTTCATAAAATATTCATGTAGTGCATCAAAAATTTTCTATTTATTTGGTTAAATTCTGCAGATGAATATTCGGCTGAAGCCTGGAATAATGGCTGGGACATTGACGAACAAGTGGAAGATAAAAACATTGAAGCCGTAAAGTTAAAAAGAGAGGATCAATCGTGGCTGCAAGACTGCTTATCTTCCTTGTCTCCAGCAGTCGATGTTTTGGCCTTGGCCTATGGACAGCATGCAGTATTTTTAACTTGTGAGTATATCATGTTCAAGATAATGTTATTTGCAATAACTTATTACCATTTGTTGTTTTTATAATGATGATTTTATTCAATATGTATTCTATATTTAGCTAAATGGAATCCTTCTGAAGAAAGTGACATGAAATTGAAGTTTGTGCCTTCATTTGAAGGAACCCTATCTGCAGAAAAGTAAGTCATATTCTATTGTAATTGAATGTCTGAGAAAGTTATTTTTCTACTGAAGGGCGAACTACAAGGGTGATTGTGTATTATTATTAGTGTACATTATGCAGATGTACTGCAGATGTATGGATATAGCCGTAGCTATATTTATTAGCTACTGTTATTTTTTATTTTAGTTTTGAATATTTCATTTAATCATTTAAGAAACAATAAGTACCTTTTTTCTGTATCTTGTTTCATGTTTCTTCTTTATAAGACAGTTTCAAAGATGAAACAAATGGAAATTTAGTAAAAAAAAGGGAAGGTTAATTAAAAAAAAAAAGGGGGGGGGAATCTTTAGGGCAACATCTAGTATCCAGCCAAAGGCATGGGAAAAGAAGTACACCAAAATATGTTAATATGGTGCCAGAAATGCTTGGTATGGCTGAATGGGGAAAATGCCATATTTTGTGAATATATACAAGCAAATTAATATCTAGGTGATATTGCATTCATATATTGCTGGTGATAACTAGTGTCTATCAAGACAAATATATATATACCTCTCTAAATAATGTTATTGAGGCTTTTTTACTAATGTTATGCATTGTCACTAATATATACTTACTGATAAATTTTTACTTACCTTATTTTCTCATGTATTTCCTCCCTTTTTGAAAATAATTTTATCATCCAAAAACTGAGAGCGGGAAATTATGTGAATGGTTTGATTTCCAATGGATACAGTTGAAGAAGAATATAACAGGTGAAGAGTATTCATGGATAAACTACAAGTAACTATCACAATATTATTTTTTCAAAAGAAACCTACATTCCAATAAGAATTCATAGCCATAAAATTACATGCATTATAATATCTAATAAGAATATCTTCATTTCTAATTTCTTGTAACTTGAATCTTGCTCATTCTTGCTGTCATTTCTGCTACTCCTTCTTGAATCATCTATGAATTATTAGAAAAGGTGAATATGCAGCAGACTTGATGAAATCTCAGATTGAATGTTGGTTCATTCTTGTTTCACTGCATAGGTTGATTCTCATATTAGGCCAGCATATTTGTCAGTTAGAAAGAAAAGTTTCGGCATGACATTCGCAGGTAATTTGTAATTTTCAAGAATTTTCCTTTGTTAGTAGTATCACTGTCTTGATGAATCTGTATTAAAATTTTAAAGAGCTTTTTCTCTGAATGAATTAAGAAAGGGAAAAACTACATGAATATTAAAAAAACTTTTGGTTCCTGAGGCAAAGCTAGGTCTATATACACAACAAAATTAAATATCTAACAGTTTCTATAGTAATATCTATGCTTGAAATTATACTTTCTGAGAACATTGATATACTACTCATCCTCTAACTATACTTTTAAAATATTGAATTTGCTTTGCTGTAATGTGTATGAAACATCTTTTACCAACTACATAGTAGTTTGTCTTCTGTAAAACCTGTCATACCATATTTAATGTTACAGTAATTAATAAATTAATAACCATATTATATCATGTTTAATATGATGTAATATAGTAAATAACTGATTAATTCGTGATATGTTAGTTAACTGAAAACAAGTACAAAGTGTAAAAAGAATTAAAGTGAAATATGTTACTTTAATTTAATGCTTTGGAACAAGAACATTGAACAATCTGTTTCATTCAGTATTCAAATGTATTTTTGATCCCTTTTCAGTATTTTCTGTATTATTAAACAATGACATTATTTTTTTTTGCACGTGTATATTTATGTTTGTTCCTTGCTTTGCAGAAAAACAACAGCTAGTAGATCCACCAAATTCTAATTGCACATATAGTCTTTCACCCAAAATGAGCATCTTGAAGCCCAAATTTTGAATTTGTTTTTATATTTAATATATGTATTTTTAAAAATTTACTGAAATTTTCATACACAAACTCAACGATTTAAAAGAAATATCTTGCCAGTCCATGATTTAACCTTCTAGCAAGCGTGCCTTGTGCAAAGTTTACGACAAATTCCGCTTTTAATGCACATTTTTCGTATATCATAGCTGAGACGTCTAAAGGTGATTTCTGTTCCTCCTTTCAACCCTTCCCCACATCATGGAATGTGCCAACAGGAAATCATATGATTTTTTTTTTTTTTAACTGGGCTTTTGTTCTGCGTGGCAGCTCCTTCGTAAAGGTTATGACACGCACATAGTCGCGGGTGAAAATTCGCAAAATATTTTTTTTCTCAAATATCTTGTAATTTTTTGTTATTAAATGGCATGTATTATTTTAATTTTTTAAATTTGATGATAATTTTTGTATCGGTTTCCATGGTGATGGTATGGTGGGGAAAACATTGCCTTAGCCAGCTGATTTTGCTTGCATTCTAGCAGAGTTATCTGATGAAAAAAAAAAAAAAAAAGAAGATAACAAAACCTTTGGATGTGAGAACAATAGCAATTTGAGCGAGGAAAATATCGAGATAAATAATATCAACAGTGAATCTTAACAACATATTTTGGATGATGATGATGATAATAATCATACAGAAAAAAGAAATGATGATGATATGTTCTGTGTTGGTAAGAATAAATATACGAAGTGGCGAAAAGAGAGAGAAGTATGCAAACTGCTCAAAGACGAAAAAGATGAATATTGTGAAAGTGTTACCTGGTCTAAACCATGCCAAGGATATAGAGGATAAAATAGGATCATTTTTGAAAATCATTGATATAAATATGTTTGATGAAATTGAAATTTTGGAATGTACAAATAAATATATAAGTTTGTTGAAAGGCAAATACTCAAGAGACAGAGACTGCACTACCTCAAGCCAGCTAACACAGAACCATTCCGAAGAATATTCCTGAAAAATTTATGTATTAGTCTTATGAAGAGCATTTTCATTTGTCGCTTCAAAATCCAAACACTACCTTCCATTTCAACATTTCTAAGCCGTAATTATGCTACTCCTTTGATAAAGTGTCAGAGCAATCCTCATCAAAATGAAGAGCATGCATTTTGCGTTGACAGAGAAAAAAAAGAGATCATCAGCATCTATAAAATGCCAGATATGCGTTAGATATACGTGCAAATGACATTCTATTACCAAAATTATTTGCATGAGATACAATGTGAACTTCGAACATTGAAGAATCACGAGAATTCTGTTTTTCTATTTTTACTCTACTGTATTCTATTTCTATTATTACTAATCTTTATTTTCTTTTATTTTAGTTTTATAAATAATAAAAATATTAAAATTAAAGTTAGTTTAAAATTAGTTTCTGTAACCAGTAAGAAGTAAATTTCCTGCACAGAAGTAACTAATGCTAATCTTACATTTTTTCCTACCAAGGTGAGTGCTTTAATCTGTACTTGCCTTTGATGAGTATTAAAACTAGCTTGAATTTTAAAATATAGTCATTAAATAAAAAAATTTAAATTTCTGTAATGAAATACATCATTGCCTTTCCACCTGACTAATATGAACATTTAACAATAATTTCATTTCAATGGTACATTATATATATTTTGCAATAATAAGCTTAATATTTTATTTTTTAACAAATTCATTATCAATATTCACTCATTTTGTTCGTTTTTGTGCCCAAAACGGTAAAATAACAGATGTCTTAAAAATATGACGCACGCATGCTGGAAGGTTAAACAAAATGTCTTGCCAGTCTTAAAAGAAATGTCTTGTCTAATCACCTTTCAGATTTAATCAACGAACTCATCATTTTAAAAGAATTGTGTGCCACTTCCAAAATTAAGCAGTTTTTATCTTTCATGTGCTGTTATGTTGCCATTTGGCAATGTATAAGCTACCGTAATTTCCGGAAGAAACGCCGCAGCGTTTACGTGTTTAAAACTTAAATTTTCAGCGGGTGCGGCGTTTCTACCCATGCGGCGTTTAGGTGCACTAAAAATAAAATATGTCCTATGATGGTCATTGTACATAGTTTGGATGGCCTTGTCATTGTGCATAGATTGGTGCTGTTCCCACACAAAAGGCTACTCGGTTGCTTTTTGCGAACGTTATTTTGTTTACGTTCTTTCCCTTGAATGGACCAACATGCCTTATTCACCCTAAACGAGATCTCAGAACAATAACATTCTTCCCCCTTTCAAATCAACATTCTCATCAGTTTGAATAGTCTTCCTCCTCTGCCATTCCATGAATCTTCCAGGACCCATCCTCTTTCCACCCCTGCCTTTTCTGCAATTTTTTTCAAAGGCGGACACGACTCCACCTGCCTCGCAATAACGAACTCTGACGTATTTCCCCTTCAGCATGAATGGATTTTTCTTGGCATTCTGCCAAATACAGATCCCATCAGTTAGGGTACAAGTGCTTGTTAGATAGTTTTTAATTAGGGAGCGGAAAATTTTTGAAAATGTCTCTAAACGGCACAGAAGTTATACGTTTCTTACCTTTAATTTATTTTTGAGTTATGGTTTCATTTCATGCATTTTTCTTAACTGGTATGTCATATATCAGGACTTAGGTTGAGTTTTTGCATCTATATGGCCCACGACGATGTCACGCGCAATTTAATCTATTGCGGCGTTTCTGTGTAATTTTTTTTCCCGCTAATTTTCTCGAGTGCGGCGTTTACGCTGATGCGACCTTTCTTCCGGAAATTACGGTACTTAATTTTTCTTTCCAGTTTAATATGTCTGTTATAGATTAACAAACAAAGTGATATAAAAGTAATATTAAATGTATTTCATCTGTTTTGTTATTAATTACTAGCCAAAGCCATGAAATAATATTAGTTGGATTCCTAACAATCATTATATATTTTTATTTTTTATAGTAACTATAGTACTTCTTTTTTATAATAGCTGCAGCTAGTAATTAGTATTATAACTACGATGACCAGACATCCTTTATATCAGAGGACAGTCCTTTATTTGAAGGCTCTGTCCTTCTAACTTTATTTATTTCCTGAAATAAGCATATTGTCCCTTATTTTGAGAAATTTTTTAGTACATTACAAGCCAGCATAGCTGTAAAATTTAACTTTGAAATGAATTGCCCTTGAATTTCACCGACTTTTTGAAGCGTGAACCGGCACTTTTGCGAAAATCCATACATCTGGAAAGTATGAGCAATAAATTATTTAATATCCAATATTTACATATTACATTATTTAAAAACTCGTTGAACATATTAATGTCTGCTTCTATTGTTTTAATAAACCTTTTGAATTACTAAGTTTTTTGGAGTTTTTTTTTATCAGGAGGTGTCCATAAATGATCGCAATATTTGGGATAATTTTGACCCTCCCCATCCCCAATCCCCATGTCACAATTTATCACACCTTGGAAGACCCCAAATTAACATTTGTGACGTCACACGAACGCACACCCCCCCCCCTAACACAAAATTATTGAGCACGAATTTAAATTACCATAACCCCCCCCTCATGTCACGTTACAAGTGTCCTTTATTTTCTCCGAAAAAATATGGTCACCGTAATTATAACTCTTAACCAGCAGCTTGTATTTAAAATGAGTAATATTGTGTTCTAATTGATAGTGCTATTATGTGACAATGCTGTTTGTTGTATTACTGTTAATCTTAGCAGCACTTTCTTGTAATTTTGGTTTAGAAAATTAGCAATGATGTCTTCTTCTTATAAATACTTTTGGTCAGGTGAACTGGAGGAGGGAATATCTTCTCAAAATGTTTCAAACTGTAAACAGGTCTGCCTGAGAGTGCAGTTGAAAGTTGCACATTGTTTAAATATGTATATCAATGACTTAGTTTCTGACTTGAAGGCCATTAAAGATGTCAGTTATTTGTTCTTTGTGGATGATCTTGTCATTTTGATGCATATGCTCGAAAGCCTTGATAGAAATGAAAATAATCAGGCTCTTGATATACCATCTGAATGACACATTGAAAATAATATGACTTTGGAGAAGATTCTCGTCTGGTCTTTTTCGCTGGACCATCATCTGCTTCTCCCAGACCTAAAGTACAGAAATGTTGTTCTTACCCATACCTGCAAGCTTAATTATTTGGGGTGACTTTTGATAATAAATTTAATTTGGAAGTCTCATATTTAATCAATCTAAATTCACTTTTTGAGCAGAGTGACTTTTTAAAAGTGACTAAGAGGATCCCTTTAGAGATATAATAGATCAACTTTAAACACTACTTATAAAACTTTTATCCTGCCTTTATTTACTGTTGTGAACCACTTGTTTGTTCAGGTGACAAGTTTTAAGAAAACTGGAACTTTTAGAGAGTCAAGCTGTTAGGGTCATTAGTGGAACTGCCAAATCAACACTGATTGGTGCTATATTTTTGTTGATAAACAATAAACTCATTAACCCTTTGTTGCATACAAGTAATCTAGAGAAGTTGAACGAAAATGTTTGTATTTTTTCTACTTAAAATAACCTTAGTAATAATAATAATAATAATAATAAAAAATTATCAAATTTCGTTTTAAATAATTGTTACAGTTTGTTCACTACAGTGGACAGCATGCATATACGTACATGCGTACAAATCTCTTTCCAACTATTTACAGTTATTGCATTTGAAATCATTTCCTGCCTTGTTTGCAATGATCATTACCATCTTCTAAATGGTAATCTGCTGCTGACATGTACATACAGATCCCCCCAAATACCTCCATTTCTTCAATTGTGATTGAATTCATTTTCCTACGATTTTGTAACCTGTATGTATTGGATTCAAATGTCAAATGTTTTAGAAATTCCTTACCAAACACAAACATTTCCAGGGATGTTTTGGCTTGATAAGTAATACATTTGGGTTTCATTTCACTCTTTTCGGTAGATCTTTATCTACTCACTCCACAATTTTCTCAAACTGACATTTAAAATAAAATGTCTAAAATTACTAATTATGAATAAAAAATGGCAATATAAAAAAATGTAAGCAATATTATATAATGTTTACTGTGATAAATTGTACTAACTTCGAAACAGAATTAGCAGCCATTTTCCAAATAGCAATGCTTTACTTAGTGATGCTATACAGCCATCTATGATCAACAGTTGAAAGTTCTAATAATATAGAATGAATAAACACAGGAATGGAATCTGTTAAGGCATTTACAGAAGAATAAACAAATTTAAACTTTTATCTACTAGAGTGGACATGATGCAACAAAAGGTTAAAGTTATCATTGAAGAAAAAGCTCTGATTCTTTATGAAAAATTTAGTACGTATATCTGGAAATCATTACTGGATTAATTATCTAAATAACACTGGAAATTTAAGAGCATGAAATGGTTTTGTTCAGTTTGCCTTGAACATCAGATGAAATTTTGAGATGCCAGATAATTTTCAAGGGTTTACAAAGCTTTCAAGCTCACTTGAAATTATAGATTGACTAAAATTTATGTCTTTCTCACAAACCTCATTTCAACATAAACAACTCTACAGATGTTTTGAAATGTTATGTTTTAGATACTATTGACGTGATGTATCCAAAATCAGAGTGGTTTCAGGTTTTTACAGATGGCCTTTTTTTATGATTATCTTATTACTACAGTCTCAGGAATCTTTTCTAGCTTATTTTCCCCTTATACTTCAGTGGGGAATTTCAAACAGCTTTGGATGGAGAGGTGGAGGATGTTCAAATTGCTGTAAAATATTAATTGACTTTTGAGGATAGATTTGCTAGAGGAGTTATTTTTTCTGATTTGCAAGCTATAATACAGGCCACTAGTTCTTTGAATTTGCCCTTGTTGGAGGAAATCTTCCAATGTTAGTATTATTTATGGAGGTTGGTTTTAAAAATGAGTGTAGTCTGTCAGTGGATACCTAGCTATTGTGGTATTTTGGGGAACAAATAGGCCGACTGCCTTACAGAAAAGAGCTGAAGACTATTGCATATGAAATTTTTAGCATTATCTTTCCATTTTATTCAAACTTTATATGAAACAAATAATGGGAAAAAGTTTTAAATTGCAAATTCAAGATAGAATAAAGTTAAAGCATTGGAGTACTAAGGATCTCTTAGCAATCCCCAGCAGTCCACAGCAAGAAGCTGTTGCCCAGTTCCAGCTCATGACTGCGGGGCAGAGTACCTTCATCTCATTGGAATCTTTTAGAACCATGTCTGCCCTCTGTAATTTGACAGATCCATTGGCTAGGGACCGCCTCCATCATTGTGCATCACTTCTTGGTAACTCTGAAATGGCACTTTACTGGCATGCTGGAGAACTTTTATATACATCTTTTATTGTTTGTTTGTACTTTTGTATTTGCTTTGTCATTGGAAAAAAAATTCCCCCCCCCTTTTTTTTAAATCTTTTTTTTTTTTTTATAAATAATAGCTTTTAAAGATTTATATGTATTTTCTATATTTTAATTACTGCTGCTTCTATAATAATGGATCAATATGAAGTTTATTTATGTTTTTTTAGAGATGAAAATATTACGAGTGTGCTTTGTCTTCCATTGGCTTCCCAAAAAAGGTGAGATCTAATGTTAAAATTTTTTTAATAGATTCGGCATTCTGTTTTAAAGAAATTTTACGTTTTTTGGTAGTTTTATTATTTTATTATTGAGAGTGCACTGTAGGCACCACTTAATGTAATCCTGTTTATACACATCTATTTTGATTGCATTAAACAATGAGGAAAAAATATCCTTCCAAATAACAATGGAATTTAACTTATTTAATATAAATAGAACTAGGAACATATAAATATGGTATATTTTCATGAATAAGGCATGAATTTTTAGAACTTTTTCTAAAGCTAAATTGAATTGGCTTTTATATGGATCCTCTAATCTCACAAAAAAAAAAAAAAAAAAAAATGTAGATACTTTTCCATTATCCAGTATTATCAAGTGATCATTGGCAATTATCACATAGTTTTATTTTTTCAGCTTATACTTCATAAGTTCATGAAAAAAAAAAGTTAAATGAAGTAAGATATTAATTTTATGAAAATGAATTGTTTTATTTTTGTAATTGTTTATAAGGATAGTTGATACATCATTGCCAACATGAAAAATCTGATATTGGGGAAATTTATACCCTATTTTCTCCATTCTTGAACTTCTTCATTTATGGAGAAATGCTGGACAGGTGTATTGTTATTAGAATTTGTGTCAATCAGGATCACCTGTAGTTTAAAATATGTCATATAAGTATTTCTCTTCCTACTCATTGTTCACAGAAATTATAAAATGGCAAAACAAAAGACTAGTGCAGGTATGATAGTATACAAGACAACAAATGAATGGAAAACGTGCTAGCTTCCTATAGGGTTACCAGAGTTACAACTGTTGTCTTTGGCATCTGGTGTTTTACTTAAAAGCAGTTTGATTGGAAAATAATTCACAAGTTTTAGCTGCTTTGCAACAGTTTTGCCCTTATGTTATAGGTCCTGTTTGAATGTTATAGGTCCCTCCCATCTCCAATTTAAATTTCATTCCTTGACTCCTAGTGATTTTCAGTGCAGTTTCTCTCATTAAATTTTATTGGATCTGTATTTTCTTAATCTGTTGTAGTTATTTGTGGAACCATTTGTGAAGATTTAGTATTGATGTGTTTAGTTTTGTTGTACATCAACATACATAGCGTATTCGGAAACTAAGTACCGTTTCATTCTAGCGCTGTCGCAGCGCTGTGGTAGGCATCCCGTGCATGCGCACTAGTCTTTCTTGTTCAGTGACTTTCAATTGCCGCCATTTTGGTTGCTCTATGTTGTGTTTTCAGTTTGCTGTGCACATGACAATTAGTTCTCCCGCTGACTGTGAGATTCGTGCTGTGCTTAAATTTTTGAACGCGAAGAATGTTAAACCGGCTGAAATTTATCGTCAAGTGACAGAAGTTTACGGTGAATACACGATAAGTGATGGAATGGTGAGAAAGTGGGCAAGAATGTTTAATGCAGGTCGAACAAATGTCCACACTGAGGCTCGGAGTGGTCGGCCTTCTGTTGTCACCGATGATTTGGTAAGGAAAGTGATGAAGCAATTCATGAGAACAGACGCTTCACAATGACAACTCTTTCAGAGGCATTTCCACAAATTTCACATACTGTTTTGTTCAAAATTGTGTCTGACCGCTTGAATTATCGCAAACTGTGTTCCCGATGGGTTCCAAAAATGCTCACTGATGTTCACAAAACAAAGCAACTTGGTAGTGCCCTGACATTTCTCACGTGGTACAGTGATGAGGGAGAAAACTTTTTAAACCAAATTGTGACAGGTGATGAAATTTGGGTGTGTCATTTCACACCAGAATCGAAACAACAATTGATGGAGTGGAGACACACTCATTCCCCGAAAAAACAAAAGTTCAAAGTGACAATGTCATCACAAAAAATCATGTGCACTGTCTTCTGGGATAGGAAAGGCATTTTGCTTACTGAATTTCTTCCCAGAGGTGAAACCATTAAAGCGGCGCGATATTGTGAGACTTTAACAAAACTAAGGTGTGCCATTCAAAACAAACGAAGAGGAATGCTCAGTAAAGGAATTGTGTTGCTCCATGACAATGCTCGGCCCATACTGCTGGTGTCACTCAATCGTTAATTCGACAGTTTCATTGGGAGCAGTTCGATCACCCGTCGTACAGCCCGGACTTGGCACCGTCCGACTATCGTTTGTTCCTGCACATGAAGCGCGAGCTTGGTGGCAAGCGCTTTGGATCTGACGATGACACGAAAAATGCTGTGGGGTCGTGGTTATCGAAACTGGCAGGAAGTTTCTTTGACGATGGTATACAAAAACTGGTCGTCCGCTGACAAGTGTTTGATCATTGGCGGAAACTATGTTGAAAAATAGTTTAAGACATATATTTTCATGTAAAAATAAAATTGGATTCGAAAAAATTGTTTTACTATTTTTTTTTTTTTTTTTTTTTTTCAAAATGGTACTTGGTTTCCGAATACGCCTCATATGTTACATTATTCAATATTCACACAGTAGTATGGTCATTAATTGTTAGGTTTATTTCCATCCTATTTAAAAAACTTTTGATAAATAACACCTTTCCTTTTTTTATTAGGATTTTCTCAGTAAAAAGAATTAGAATCTTACAAAATGAAATAAGTCTAAACACATAAAAATTGAGAATGTTGAATTAAATGCTAGTATACTTTACATCAGAATTGCATTATAAATAGTTCATCAACCCAGTTGAGGCATTATAAAATTAATTTAATTCTGTTTGGTGTTTTTTCTAATGTCAGTGTTGCGGCGAGCGAAATTATTTTGGAAATTCCTGATTTTCGTATGAAAATCTCTCACTTTCTCTTGTTTTCTGATTGAAAGCTATGACATCACTTTTAGTTGCCAAATCAGATTTTGTTTCTCTTCAAAAGCATCAGGCAGGGCTCAGTTCTAGCAGGCATCAGGTTTGAGAAATGACAGTAATAACTGGTTTCGATGCTGAGGCTTCTAAATAGAAAATCGATGGGAGTGATGCCACCTTTGTCTGAGAAAAATGAGCCATAGCGTTTTCTGCAGATGTGCTTGCTTAAAATTTTGTACAACCTTCCAAAAAATTATTGTTGCCATATTTCTTGCTGATGACAGCTGAGTCATGAAAACAGTGTTAGAGTGTTATTTCTTTAATGCAGAACTGCTATCTCCTTTCTTTGTCAAAGACAAATAGATAGCTGTCTCAATAGCCTACATAAACAAATCTTCCCAAATTTTAGGTTTTCATGAACAGTTACAGTTTTAACAGAAAGATATATCTAATTTGCAAGGTGGTGTGATTTTTTTATATGTTCATCTTTAAGGTTCATGTGGCTCACTCATAGAGTTATTAGATTATTTTTGACACTAAGAACATAAAAATGCAGCTATGCATTTTCAAGAATTTCAGCTCCAAATCTTCTGATGCTAGTTGGACAGTCAATGCAGTAACAAAATGCAGTAAGAAAGATGAAATTTTCTACATTCTCCCTCCAATGAAAAGGTAATTGGGCAAAGAGGGGGGAGAAACCCAGTTGGGTAGATGAAGGCGGTGACAAATTACCATCCACGCTATTTTAGTGGGATGCCACTGTAGAGAGGATGCTAGAATTTAAAAAAAAAAAAAAAAATATTAATAAAAAAAAAGGTGAAAAATTTACATGCTTTTGCTGGGAATCGAACTGTGGATGTTTAAAGTGGTGGCTAGCTGTACCATGAGTTACATTGCAAAAACTGTAGTGGAAAACACAGAAATTCCATATAATCTATCCTACTTATTGACTGATTGGAGAAATTGTCCCAGTTACCAGATCTAAGCGGTGATGAATCCATTATTTTATTATTTTTTATTCCATTATTTTTTGTTACTCAGGTCCACTTTATTATAATTCAGTCTTTTAGGGACTGGCAGCTATGCTTTTTCAGGGATTTGAATCATGGACATTTGGATTGTTAGACAATTATGGTACCAGTCACTAAAGCCTACAGCCAGGAATGTGATATTGCCTTATACATTTATTGAAAGTTCATTTGAACAACTGCAACAATCTTTGAGTCACTTAAATGAGAATCATTATCTTTCACTGATATGCAACCATTTTTAAACCATTTGCACCATTCAGGTGTTTTATTGTGACTAAAAACCGCTTTTCTTCCTCATGTACTGCTTGAAGTATTCTTTAAATTTCAGTTGGTTTTGTGGATCGACTTTCAAGAAATTTCAGGATTTGTGCTAATAGACTGAATCTTTTATGATTTGATTGGCTGTAAATTTTCTAAATGGGAAGAATGCTGTATTAATTTAAAGTTAGGATTAAGATTAAATGTTGCTAAAAATTAGTAAAGAAAAATGCATACATATGTTTAAAAAACAATTAAGGTTAATTGCATTTTCCAGCAATTATTGCAACTGAAAATTTGATAGCAGTAGATTTTTGTAACAAGCAAGCAGTTCTAAATTCATGATAAAGTGCAAAATGTTGATATAGTATCTTGGGTAACTACTTTTTGTTTGGTATGCAAAATACAGAAATGAAAAGTTTGGAATATTGTTAGCATAACTGTTAATTTTTAAATTTAAAATAACATTGTATGTTGTGTGAGGCATTTATTTTATTTTTTATTTATTATAATTTTAGGAGCCAGCAAGGAGGTCCAGATTGGACTTGTATAATAGTTGGTTTTTCATCAGGTTACATTAGAATATACACAGAAGTGAGTATTTCAGTTACTAAAATGTATACTAAAAACTATGCAATCTTTTGAAACCTTGCAAACTTTATTTTTTACCTGCTTGATTTTTTAAATAGTTAAATAAAAAACATGCTGTGTATCTATTTCACATGCTGTAAGTTAAAGATTATATATATATATATATATATATATATTATATTTTAGAAAGTAAAGTATACTGTAAAGTGATCGGAAAGAAATAATTATCAAAAAAATTGATTTTAGTCAATTTATATTTGCTATAACATAATATGTAATGTATTTTTTAATGTGTTTTATTATGTAAATGGGAAGTTTGCAGTTCAATTCATTAGATGGCACTGCATTTTGTATCTTTATTATGTTGTAAGCCGTTATTGTAAAATGGTAGTTGCAGACAAAAAACTGTTGCAATAAAGGCACTTGATGTTAATGTTATCATTTGCATATGTTCTCGAATTGTGCCACGTTGTCGCACAGTGGGGCATTCCACAGTTACTGCCGGATTAGATCTGTCTCCACGTCAATGCCACACACGTAAGCGGCCACAGTCACGTGACAGAACAGAAGCGTGACTCTTCTGAGAACACGACGTTTCGCCATTCTGTCATCCACATAGCTCCAGTCCGGCATCATTCTAAACGTTGGTGTCTATGTTGTGGGGTCAATGGCAGTCTTCTTAATGGATGGCATGAGTGCAGGCCACGTTCAACCAATCAATGGGGAATGGTATGGTCGACACAGGAACACCCAGGGTATCTTGCACATGCTGCAGAATTGCGGTACAAGTGACTTGCAGGACCGGCACAGCTTGTCGGCGGATGCGTCGATCCACACCGTGCTGATGTCACTCTGGCTGCACCTGAACCCCTCCTTCTTCCCACATTTCCTTGTTCAAAACATGTTCGCCATAGCCGATGCACCGTGCTCGCATCCATGTGGGTATCAGCTGCAATTTGACATAAGGACCAACCCGCCCTTCTCACTCCGATCACCATACCCCTTGTAAAATCGTCTACCTGCTGGAAGTGCCTTCGTTGATGGCGGCCTGGCATTCTCTCCTATTACATGTATCCTCCGGGACAAAACCAATTTTCTTTGATAATTCATCTGGCAGAAATAACGACACGAATATTGCCCATTTTGCACATTCCTTCTCTTATATCTTACTTCACGTGCATCGGAGAGCTGCGCATTTCAGAACATTCGCATAACTCAGTGACATGCATCTACTTTAAAATTTGCATATATTTCTGACCACTCCTTCTTGGTGTTGCATTTTCAATGTCGACCAGTGTACAATATTAGAATGTTATTTTAGTTAATGTTATCAAAGTATTATTGGGAAAATTATTTACTGAAGTTAAGTCAACAGATATAGTCAAAATTGATTATAAAATTGCTGAGTATCAGAAAAATGTCACAAATATTACAGATCTCTCATTTACTAAATATATTACCAAATTAAGTTTGTTCCCAAATAGCTTTTGATTTTAGTTAACTGTTTAAAACTAAGGAGGAGGGAACAATCTTAGTTTGGATCAAGAGAGAAGGGAAAAAAGCAGATTTTTTTTTTCTTCTGCTAAGGAACAGGGACCTGTATCTATTTGCTCTCAAAATTGATAGAGTTTCATTTTAAATCTGGGCCCAAAACCAAGGTTGTTGTTTTCTCTAATTTTAAATTAAATCTTAGTTTGGCTTAGATTTTGAATAACTCTAACAATTTTTTGGATAATCAAACACAAATCGCTGTTTTTCAAGACAAAAAAATTTTGCATAATTTTTTTTCCATACTCCTTAAAATAAATTCTCTGGAAAGATCTACAGTAAACTCAGTTTGCTTTTTTTTTTTTTTTTTTTTTTTTTGGTCTGCTTTTACAATTTATATTTGCATGTTTTCTTTCAATGAATGAGGGGTGCCCTCCAATTATTAAATTTAGAATATAGCTGTAGTCAGATAATTTCTAATAATGTTGTGAACAATTCATAAATAAATTTTTTCCATTTTTCTATGTCTGTGAAAGATTTATTTATGTGTTTCTTGTTTTATTTGTATTAAGTGAGTTGAATTCCATTGCTGTTTTGAAGGATATTTTTTCTCACCATTTAAAGTTAATATTTGGTTAATGTTATTAAAATAACCATGGATAAATGTCATCACATTAAGCGGTGCCTACTAGACAACTCGGAAGTAATTTTTCAAGCACTAGATGCAGGTTATTTTTTTTAAGTATTTTAACTGTTTTCATGCATTTATCCAAAAAGGTTTAAATGTCATATCTGGTGGTATGTGTCAAATAATGCCGAAGAATGCTGTTGCTGCTCTGTGTATATCTCACTAGATGAATTTCAGTCAATGGTAAACAGAAATTGTGGATGCATTCAGGATTATTTTGTTGCATATTTTATTTTTTCCACAAAAGGGCAATTTCCAGGCATAATTAAAACTTTCTTGCAATAATGTGGTATTTTATGCATTTGCTAATATATATCATCAATTTATTGAAATACAAATTCTTTAACCATATAAATCATAAAGCTTTTTAGACTTTTAAACATTTCATTTCTTAGAATTATAGTTGTCTAATTTTAAAGAAGTTATGTCACATATCTTAGCGCTGTAATAAATACAGAGAACAGTATCTCTCCTGAAATTCATAATAGAGTAACTTATATTAACAGATGCTTCTTTGGTTTAAAGAAATACCTGAAATAAATTAATTTTATCAAAGAAAACTAAACTGACAATTTATATATGTTTAATTAGACCTGTTTTGGCATATGGAGCTGGAACCTGGACATTGAGTGGAAAGGATAAAGTAAATATTTGCAATCATTTTTGAGAAGTTTTGTTGGAGGTACTCAGGTAGATGACATCTAGTGAAGAACCAATACATAAAATGCGAAAAGTACAGGTATTAGACATCTTAAATTTTATCAACATCCAGAGATTGGGCTGGTCACCTAATCGGAATAGAATCAAAGCTACCAAAATAATATTCACATACAAGCCAATAGGCACTTGAAAGAGAGGGAGACTGAAACACAGATGGGACAGACTGTCTGGAGAGAGACTTGTGTAACTGCAGGTCATTAATTGGAAGACCATCAAAGAAGTCAAAAATAGAACATCCTGAAATGAAATTTTAAAGGCCTGTCATGGGCTGTTGAGTCACTAAGGAAGAAGAATTTTAAAATAATATTTAGATCATTAAAGAATATAAGGAAATAAAATATTTTAAATACTAAGTTATGTATTTTAAGTAACAGTAAATTCCATCACTGGATTAAAAAGTAAGGTCTTTTATACTTGTTGTTGATTGTCCTATATGAATACAACATTCATGAATGGATTTATTTTTAATACTTCCAAATGTAAATATTATTTTATGTGTAAGAAATAAAATGTTTCACTATTACCAAATATTTTTTTTATTGTACTTTTTAAAAAATTTTGTTGATACTCATTTTTGTTATTTATGTATTATTCCATTGACCATGAAATGCTCCAAGTAGTGCAGTTTAGCACCAGTTACAGGCAGTTGATGCAATAACACACTTGTAACACCTTCACTTTCGTTTGATATCACCCTATTGATTTTCGAAAAGCTAAACTTTGTTTTTATGAACTAAAATGTAAATTAACTGCTATTGCTGTTGCTATATTTCTGTCCTTGCATTTTGAATAATAATAATAAAAATTAAAAAAAAAAATCATTCCTTTTGTAGAACAGCAGACAGTGGATTATTTTCAAACTTATCCTACCATGAACAAAAATGTGTATTAATGGACGTATGATCAGGTAAATAGGGCAAATAAAGCAGCAGTAGATTGGAACAATCACTTGCAGGAATTATTGAACTCATATTGTTCTAAACAGAGCTTCTGATTAAATTGGAAGGCCTATTGAAATCGTGGAAACTAATGAAAGCTTTCTGATGAAGTGCCAAAATGAAACTGGCTGATTATTGACTGTTATTGCTTATTAAATAAGGAGGTGTTAGTTCCATTAGAATTCCACAGGAATGACAGGCAAAAATTTGGCAGGATCTACGCCAACTTTTATGGCTCGGTAATAGTGAACTTTCACAGCCAATAATATAAAACTGAATGTGGTACAAAGAGCTGTCTGTTTGGGAGTAACATAGCTGTGATTTGGGAGGGGTTACAGCAATGATTAGCATACTGTCTGTGAGGCTCTGGTGCCTTTTATGAAGAACAAGGACACCAACGCTAGTGAAATGCAGGGGAAAAATAGTAAAACGGAACACATGAAATTATTACAATTATTATATATATTGTACTTCAAAACAAATCACACGGAACGCGCTGAATGATTTAAAAATAAAAAAAAAATCTTTAGAAAAGTTTTGTAAGATACATGAACAATATAGTTGTTGTACTGTATTACTCTGAATAAAAACATTTTAAAAGCAATAGTTTATTTGATGTTTGACACCGAATAAGCTAAGAAAAGAACACGTAATCATCGTTCAAGATACATTCATGTCAAAAAAGTGAAATATTAGAATAATGGCGTCGTAAGGTTATTGAATCAGATTGTAAAGTGCATATCTGAAGACTTCTAGAGGTAAGAATTTTACATTGTTTATGTCAAAATTGATAAAATAAAAATGCTTATTAAAAAGCGAGGAGCTTTCAGATCATCAATAACTAACATTGTAAACAAAGTAGATGGCGATATAAAAAAAGTAATAGTGAAACTGAAGATTTACTAGAAGATTCTTTGGCAGCATTGATTGAAAAGGAACAAGAACTGTATAATTTAGATGAAGAAGTTATATCTTTAATAGATTATGAAAAGAAACTTGAAACAGAAATTGAAAGTTCTCTGAATTATAACGATAAAATAATTTTATGTAAATCTAGAATAAATAGATATTTAAAATCTAGTCTGGAACAACACAAAACAAACTCTGATATTAGGTTAACTGAATATAACAGTGGGAATCATCATGTTCATCTTCCTAAATTAGAGATT